GACTACAGTCAAGCGCAGACCAGTATTGAAGTGCACAGGAAATAAGCAGCAGTCATATTTAAAGCAGTTTAAATTAATATTGAGTACTGATTGACGTTCACTTGGATTTTTTTCCCCATCGAGGGGAAATAACTTAATACTCCGTCATTAATAGTCGTATGGTAAAATTTATATTTTTAATTGTGTAACGTTATGTTCAAAATCACTACAAAATGTCATGCCTTTGAAAAATAAAGAGAACAACAGAATGCGCTGCTTTAGCGCGTCTCGGTCTCCTTGAGCATCTTTCTGGCGCATGCCACAAACATCAACCACAGCGAATACTTGTCTTTTAAAAGGCTTCATTTAGATTATATTACATTAAATGCATCATATAAGTCACTTTGGAATAAATCACAGTAGGCCTATGTATCATCATGAAAAAAAAAGCGACTTTACAGTCTGGAAATACTTTAGGCTATAGCAAATTATTTCTCGGACCCCCTATCACTTTAAGAACCACTGGTCTACACAGAAGACAGACCTGTCTAGACTCTGCCCCGGTACGAGTTGTGTCGAGCTATTCATTAGTCTGTTTGTTTGATGAAAAATATGAAATGGATAAAATGGGTTATTAATCAGTACAACTGCAGCAGTGGAGGACTATTATTCTGCTGCATGATACTGCGGAAGAACTGATGACGGCACGGTTTGATCTTCGGCTGACCAATCAGCAGAAAGGGGAGTTTAATTCCCGCCCACGTGTAGAAATCGAATATTCAAGCTGTTTATTCATTTTTCCACCCATGAACGAAAAAACGAAAATTTAAGCTAAATTCTCGTTTTTCGTTTTTTGGAAAAAAAAAAACGAAAAAGGAGCCGTTTTCTCATTTTTCTACTTTCAATATTAAATCAAAAAACGAATGATCGAATGATACACCGTGTATCATTCGATCATTCGTTTTTTGATTTAATATTGAAAGTAGAAAAATGAGAAAACGGCTCCTTTTTCGTTTTTTTGTTTTTTTC